TATCCATTTGTTCTTGTGTCCACATGGGTGCTTAACTTAAACAACTTCTCTCCCTCCGTGGTAGTTGTACCTCTGATGTGTTTATAGTATGATAAGTAAGATTTGGTTCAAACGTAACAGCACTATGGTATGTAGTAAATGGGAAGCAGAAAGCGAAACTGACAGTGATTGAAAAATGAAACTGACTTGTCTCATTTCACTGTCTAAATTGAGTGAAGAGCAATGACTTCAAAATCTAATCCACTTCTAGCCATTCATGTCAGTTAACTTTCCTTCACTTTTAATAAACTAAGGTGCTAGTAAGATATTTATCTTAACAATAACACCTGAATTCTTTGCCCATTTAAATATTATGTCTTGTATGTATGAAGAGAAAATTGGAGAATCAATAAAAACAAAGGATTTCTTTTTAGAAACTACACTGGTACAAATTATTTCCTTGTTCTTTATACATTTTTCTGTAAATTGAAAAAGGGAGAGGAAATTATTGTGGCAGCCTCACCAAAAAAAGTGAAAAATTAAAGCGCCACTCTCTCTGGGAAGATAAATGATACAGAGGGATAGTTAAAAAAAATCAAATAATAAATAGTCCAGACATTAAGAATAGAAATCAACACTAAAAAAGAGAACTTTTTTTTCTCTCTCTCTCCCCTTACTGGTGGAGTCAGGAGATACTTTTGAGAGAAAAGCCCTGTAAACTCTGTATTCTTGAATGCATCTTTGTCAATGAGGAGTTTTGCCCGAGGAGTGCAAGCAGAATCTTGCCCTCCCTCTTCAAAGATATAATCTATTGGTTGAACAACTGAAGTGCAAATTGAGCTAATGAAAATTTAAAAACGATTTTCTCTTTTAACATCAAGCATTTATTGCAGGCATTTAGGACAAGAAACAGCCAAGTAAGTAATCATCTGCCAGCAAGCCTTGTAAGAAGTGGGGATATCTAGATGCTGACAGGGCTGGAAAAGGGATACTGGCTATTTAAAATACCATGATATCTATTCCAATGTACAGCAAATTCAGTTTTCTATATGTTGAGCATACGCACAACACACTGTGGTGGTAAGAATGCAGATCAAGAATGCAGACATCATTTGGGAGAGTTTGAAATATACAAATCAGCAGAAATACTTGTTTTTTTTGTTGTACTTTGAGCATGTCTACGCTACAAAATACTGAAAGAAAGGCAACCTAATGGTATTCCATATTAAGAGCTCTGATATCACTCAGGCCCTATTTTGCAGGGAACTAATGGATGTGACTGGGAGGAGGGGAAGATAAACCAAAATAAGACTGGAGGAAGGAAAGAGAAAGATACACAGATGGAGAAAGATGTACAAACAGATGGAGAGAAAAAAATATTGAGAGAAAATACAATAAGAAATCTAAAAATTGCTTTTACACACTACACCCATATCTAGATAAAAATATGCAACCAAACTCTAAAACCAAATATCAATACAAGTTTCCATACATAGTTAATATTCACAAGTTGGACCAAATTCTGCTTTAAGTTATGCTTGACATCAGTGTATTACAACATTCGCTTGGCAGCGAATACTAGTGAAGTTAGCCACCCCTCTCATTTTTACTTGTTCAGAGCTGTCTGAAAAATTATTCTTTGGTGCTGAAATTGCCTCAGTTGAAAGACAAATTTTGTTGGGAAAGTCTGGAAAATCTGTTCAGCCATTTTTGAATGATGCAAGTGAAAAAGAGGTACCTGTCCCATTGGAATAAAAGACTATCACACTTGTGACCATACAGAAAATTCAAATAGAGCTGAAATTTGAAGTATTGCACATATTCGGGGCAGATCTTCATCTGTTATAGATCTGCATTTCTCCACTAACTTTAATGATTGATGCTGATCTGCGCCAGCTGAGGATCTGACCTATAATATCCATTTGGAAGTGTGTCAATGGCCAAGAGTCTGAATCTGAAAAAGAAAAAAAAACACCAAAAAAACCCAAACTTGTGCATTTCCTGGCTTTTAAAAAATTGTTTAACATTAAAATTGCATTAACATAATATCTGCATATAAATTATGTGCAATATATCTACTTACTCTTCACTAACATTTTCTCTGACATTATCCCCTTTCCCAAAAATCCCTAAATCCTCTCTCTTGAAAGGTGTTCCTATACTACCCCAGCCTTTCTTTTCTGAGCAATATCTGGAAAAAAGTTGCTTTTTTTTCATCTAACTAACGGTTCCAAAATAATTTCCCATACAGATGTTTGAATGCTGAAGAAGAGCATTCAAAAACATTTGTTCAAATTCCAAATGGCTTTTCAGTCAAACCATCTTTGTACTTATTATTTGTTATTCACAAACATTTGCACAAATGTTTGAGGAATGGGTTTTTTGATAGAAGTATTTGTATCTGCACACGAGCAGGGGTGTCCGTGTGCAAAAAGAGGATTTGTTTATTTATTATTTGCTAAATGTAACATTTGTGTTTAAAAAGCTTCAGTCTTCCCATCAGGGAGGAAAAACAATACCATGCGACTTAGGTGAATGGTTACCACAAACAGCTAACAGTTTAAATGAACTATTCACAAGCAGCCAGAGGCTCAAATTTGTTTGCATACGCTATTTTGCGAATACATATGAATATTGAATGCAGACACAGAAATCAGAATCTTTTTTAGAACAATTCACAACTAAAAAAGTGCTAAATTACTTGTATAATTATTTGCAATGAACAATTCAACCATTTCTGCTTTCCAGCTTAGCTTCTGTCACTTTCACCATGCTAAATATTTCCCTTTTAAATGTGATCAATGAACTTTTAAATGAATTTGACAGGTTCTAAAATGAGTTGCATGCTGCCCACCTCAAAGAAGATTGCTGTGCCAACCTTTGAAGAAAGTGAGCAAGCACAAGTATAGGTGAAAATGAAGAAATCCAGGAAGATTCCTATTACATGAAAAAATCTGAATTGTAGCTTTACAAATGAAACATTATATTATACCACTGTAGGTGGGTGATAATTAGTGATAACAGTCCGGGGATCAATTGATCATATATAGTAATAACCAAATCTATGAGTAAACTTGGAAAATAAACAGCTATAAACCATGTTCCTGCATTTTCATATATTCTTCAAAATGGATAAATTAATTTTTCTGCCAACACTTCATCTAAGTTTCTTGCTTTTAGTTGATTCCATCCCTTTTTCTACTTTGTAGATCTCTTATACACCCGGGCTTTCTTCAGAGGATTCTTTTTCTTCATAAAATGTAGAATAAAAGATAAGTTCCACAAAACTATTGCAGAGAGGCCATTTTCTAAAAATGAAACAAATATGAAATTCTTCTGGGAGACTCTCTCTCAAACAAAATGTTAAGGTAGCACAATTTGAAACATCCCATGTGCTTTGTTTCTGGAACTGGAACTCCTTTTCAAGGGTCTATAATAATTTAAAAAAACACCTAATTGTCCAGGAAAAAGCAAACAACCCACAGAAAATGATCTTTGTCTAGCATGTCTGTTGACAAAAGAACAATCCAATATAACAGACAGCTAATTGTTTTCAAGATCATTGCTACTGGTCTCAGAGCATCTGCATCTTCATTCACGTGGAATAGCCGAGCTGTCTATGCCCCATTAAACACACTGACAGAGTTTACCATTTTCATGAAAAAAAAGATATGTTCAGATGACAGGTTTACCCACAGAAAAAATACAACACTCGTAGCTATTTTTTTAAATCAGTGATTAATTTTCATAACATCCCATAACAGTTCAACTGTTAAAGCAATTAAAAAAATATACCTCAAACATAAGAGAGGTGCTACATGAAAGTACTTAATAGACAACTTAGTGTTAATATGAACAAACTTTTTTGTGTGGGGGACAAACAAGGCTCCAGTTGCGTAAACCCAAGAGTAGTCCTTTGAGATTAATGGACTACTTAGGTGAGTAAAGGAAAAGAGCAAGTGTCTGCAGAATCAGTCCCTAAGATTTGAAATCTTCTCCATTAAAAACCTATAAAGATAGCACTTTCAGCATATCTTTTATTAAAAACATACACAAAATATTTTACATGGTGCTCTGCCAAAGTCTCCCTTTGTTTTCAGTTTTATGAATACGAGCCCTTTCAGTTGAGAACTGTTGGACAACAACAACAACGATTGTCCCTTTCTGCTCTATTAATCTCCTTATCTTTTAATTTATCCCCACATGTTACTTGCATAATTTAAATTCAGAGTTCACTAAAGCTTTCTAGTTTGGGTTCGCTTTTACCAGCAGAAACATACACTGGCTCCCATTTTTCACCCGACTGTCACATGGACTGACATTTCCTCTAGTAGAAAGAAATTTCTTAAGGTTAACAACCACTTCTCTATTAAAAAAGAACCACCACCTGAGTCATTACAAATGCCACAATAAGGTGGGGTGGCATTTTTCACTATAACTTCTTTCAACAGTTGGAGGCGTAATCCCCACACACAGACACTATATTATACTTTGAAATGTTAATGTTCAGATACATCGTTTACTATTTCATCATGAAAAGACAACAGATTTCAATATTCTGCACATTGACACGCTCTAAAAAAGAAAATATGTATTGAGAAAAACTTTGAAAAATAGGGACTTATTCTTTTTAGAAAGGAATTATATTTGAACATGTTAAATCATCAACCTAAAACAGATGAAGTTGTGGGAAAATACTTTAGGGAAATATGTGGACTCACTAACCAAGATCCTTTATTTATTTATTTCATTCTGTCCCTTTCATATGTTCTTAGTCAGTTTTCCGTCATGAAGAATTTCTAGACAAATTTTCCAATGGTTTATTCTAGTATTATTTGAAACATACCTTAAAACAAAAAAAGCATGAGAGCAAAAATACTGTCCATTAGGATCTTGTACAATCTTAGCTATTACTGATCTCAATGGGACCTCTCACAAGAGTAACAGAAGCATGAATTGGCCCACCATATTTCGAAATAACAACACCACAGTAATAAAAACACAGTCATAAAAGCTCCTACCAGATCGTATGCAGCCATAAGCTTTTTCTGCACATCAGGCATGGTCCCCAGAGGCTCCAGGTAAGGGAATGTATCTTTCATATAGACAGTGGCAGAGGGAGTATTGTCGCTGTTTATGAGCCGTGAGGACAAAGTCAAGATGCACTGCTTCAGACTGGCGATTGGAGGGAGTCCACAAAGCTCCTTAACAGACACAATTGCATTCTGTGGGGGGAAAATGGATTTGCATTTACCGTAGCTCACCATCCCATTCTGGTTTATAAAAGTAAGTCAACTAGTGCCTCTTACACATACACACACACACGGTTTCGTGAGCATTTGGAAAATTCTAAGAATAAGTTTGTCCCTGTGATCATACTGTTTTAAGTGAGGATAAGAAACTCATAAGAATTAAAAGATAATCTGCAAAGAGTAAAATAAAAAAAGGGTTGTGACCTTTGCTGCTTCTTTATGTTTTTTATAGAAGGCCTGAAAAAAGTTGTACACCGCTACCTCGATATAACGCCACCCGATATAACACGAATTTGGATATATCACGGTAAAGCAGTGCTCCAGGGGGGAGGGGCTGCACACTCCAGTGGATCAAAGCAAGTTCAATATAACGCGGTTTCACCTATAATGCGGTAAGATTTTTTGGCTCCTGAGGACAGCGTTATATCGAGGTAGAATCCCAGTAACAGAACATTGTAGCAACCAGCAGAACACAACTGTTACCATACTGCATTTTAGACCCCCGTGAGGATACAAAAATTTGGATCCACATCTGATCTGCATCCACAATAATGAACTTGTGACCCGCACTCCACCTTTTATATGTATTTGTATCTGCACCGAATCTCACTGTTGGAGCCCTGTGCGTATATAAAAATTTGGATCTGTATCTGGTCCGCAAAGATAGTAAACAATACAAAAGTGGATATCTGTGGATTTGCAGGACTCTGTATCTTTGCAGGCCAGGAATCCGAAAATGTTCAAGTAATTAACAGAGGCTCTTCTTTTAACCAAATATATTTGAATGGTGTATTAGAAAATAAAATCTGTTGTTTGGTTGTCATATAAATTATCCTTGAGAACAAGATCTAGAAGCAAAATTTAGTTTTTGAACACACATTAATACTATTTTTAGGTGAGGTTTATAAATTATTTTCTGGTTATACTACTTCGTGTATACAGCTGTAATCTAATATTTATTGTTACAGAATAAAGGAATGTAAGGGAACAGAAGATGGAGTCAGAGATTCAAATTAGTTATTTTCAAGGCCTGCAAGGAAGAAAAGCCTGGGAAGAGTTTCCCATTCTTAAAAATATGCTTAAGATATTCCTCTGAGAGTGATTTATAACTTATGTCATTTTGTAAACCTTTCCAGCTGCCAAAACTAAATTTGCTTTAGACTCTGTCCAGAATTGCAGGGTCAGTGAAGTAATATAAAATGTGTTCTTGTCCTGTTTTCCAGGGATAAATACACTGTTTCCTTTGCTTTACCAAGGAAATAGCTATTGTACATTCTCCTATATAAATACAATTCTTATTGTTTAACCTTATTCAGTTTTGTTTCTCTTTGGCAGCATCTACACCACAGATCTGATTTTCTCCTAACTGAACCAGTGAGAATGCATGAAATTAAGCACAAAGAGTGCAAACCTGCCATGCTGACTCACGTTCTGAACCATTGCAGTTTCCTCCTGTCCATTAAACTTTTTCAATTGCACAATGGGTGCTTATCCCACAGTTCCTGACACATCTATAAGAACTGGATTCTGGGACTATGGTACAGTAGCAGAAGGTCTACCCATTTCTGCCCAAACCGTCTTAATGCTGTCCACACTGCATTGAACCAGTTCAGACTAAACCAGCATTTAGCTAAAAGCAAAATGTAATCCCAATGGTATTTGGTTGACATGTTAAATGTATAGAGCATGTGTGTATGGGTAGGAATGTGTTTTAGGTAGGATCACATAACTCTTAGCAGAGTACACATCTGTAATGTAGACAAGACCTGAATGACTCATACATTTGGGTGTTTCTAGGCACGCACGCATGCATACATACACTCACACACACACACTTTTCACTAGTTAGCAAGATAAAGGTAAGCTGACATTCTTCAAAAAGGAGACAGGATGGGATGTCTCTCTAGTCCTATGGCCTGGAGATACAAGCTAGTCCTCAACTCAAATCTCCCAATTAGCTAAAATCAGCAGTGGGCTTTTTTTCTTTTAAATATTTTTCAAAAATTAAACAGATGCTTAGCCTGACATCTATATGTTAATTAACCTCAGTAAATATCAAGCTTTGGCAAATCAGCACTTTGTGTATTTAAACTGCAAGGGCTAGATATTCCTTTTAGTTACACAGGTATAATTTTGAAGCAAGTCCATTGACTTCAATGGATTTATACTGCTGTCACTGAGATCAGAATGTTTACCCAAGTGTTCAGTACAAAGCAATAATGAAGTAAAAAGTTTCATACCTGCATGTTTTCCCTCATGTCAGTGGCCTCTCGTAATGGATGCACTGCTAGTTTAAAGATATCATCTATAATCTTAAGGCTTGTGTTCCTCAGCATGGTATACTCGCTTCCTTTCTTTCCTATTCTCACCGACAGACTGCGCTTTTGTGCTTTTCCTCCTCCACTTCGATTAGTTATTGCAATGTGAACAAAAAGTGTAACATGCTCCATGATATCTCCAACAAAGCAGCGCAAGGGTATATGTCGATATCCAGGCTGTAAACATTCAAGTGGTATGGTATACTGGCCTATAAACTCATCACCAATATAGTCATCATCCAAAACAACAAAACGGATCATGGCAAGTTCTGGTAGATTTATTTGGAACTCAAAGCTTTCATCAAAAATAGGATTGTCACTGTTTTGCTGAACAGTTTTAGTTCTTTGTTCTGCACAGTCTGCAGGAATTCCATGAATTTCTATGCAAACATATGGGTCTATGACATCCCCTTTTGCACAAGCTCCCTTGGGCTTTGGAAAGTTCTGACCACTGATAATTTTGACATGTAGAACTTGAGGAGAGACCCCTGGAACGATGCCCTTTGTATTTGCACTAAAGTAAGATACTGTATCACGCATAACAGAAGGTCTAAGGACATAGCCACATCCCCCATTCTGTAAAAACCAGCCAGTATGTAAATCCATCATTGGGCCTGGAGTCTGATAGTTCATTGCCACTATCTGACAACCACAATTCCAAAAATCTTGGGGATTTAAGTTACTAGAGTCTATCCTCATAGCACTTGGGTATATCCTAGACAAAAATTTCTTGTTGTAATTGACGAAGTCCTCTGGATACTCATTTGCAATTCTACTGGCCTCTGCCTCACTGAAAGAGCAGATTTCCCAATAATTCTGACTTTTCATAGATACCACAAAATCTTTGTACTGGACAGACTTGCATATCGATACCAAATCAGACAACTCTCTGCACAGCCAGATCAGCCTTGGGTCATTCACATAATCTTCAGACATTCTTCGAGATATTTCAGCCTCTTCATCTTCATCAGTGACTTCTCCTTCTAATAAATCCTGGTCAGAGGGGAGCTTCTTCCCTTTCACAATGATCTTCATTTTCAGTTTCTCAGGTGATGGAAGGTAGGCTTCTGATGGTAAAGGTGCTTCTGTGTAGAGTTTGTTTCCAAAAATCTTCTTCATGTGTTGAACCATTACTTTCTGTTGTTGTATTGAGCAGTGGTTACCCAAGCAGAGAATGAGAGGATACTCTGAAGTAATGAAGGCTAATTTGTTTATTACCTCAATAACATTTCGAAAGGCAAGTGGTGATGTCATGCTATTACGGTTACAAATGATGGGCTCATTATCTGGACCATCACAAACATCAAGTTCAATACTCCTACAATTCATTTTTAAAGCCCTGACATAACCATTGATATCAGCTGGTCCTCTAAATTGGTCTTCTATTAGATAGGTATTGTGAGATGCATTGATATAATAATGTGATAAAGGCTGAGTCATATCCTGGACAACTTTTCTGTGCTCAGGGTCAAAAATATCACATTCTGGGGACACCAAATACTGAGTAAATCCATCAATTGCAAGAAATCCCTTCAACCGTCCTTCTTGAGAAAGTTCATACCTGCGGATAATGTCTAGACACATTTCTTCAGTTATATGAGCAACTCCTTGCTCAGCTTCTAAAAAAAGCATGAGGTCATTAGCATCCAAATATTCTTTGTTTTTAGATATCTGCACTAGTAAGAAATAAACTTCAGGTCTTGTGCAAAGTTCGCTGAATGCTTCACAAAACTCCTCTTTAGTTACTCGGGTTGTTAGTTTTTCTTTGCTTTTCTGGATTTCCTTAAATTTTAACCTAATCTTTGATTCCTTTAGGGTAGGATTAAGCTGTTTGATTAACTCTACAGATGTATCTTCTAACATTATGCCATTACCATCAACATCTGCAGCTTCAAATACAGTTTTTAGCCACACAAACCGTGGGGTATTCTGGCTGTTTTCCATTAAATCCAGAGGTTGTTTGCTACGAGAAACCAGGTAACGTAAACCTGACACCCAAATGTTGGCCACATCAGCTGAATTGGCAACCAGGTCAAGAGACTCATAGTTCTCCCCATGAATTACAGAGAATGCACAGTCTTCACTAATCTGGTCTGCAAGTCCATTGTTCCTGAATGTTTCAGTGTTCTTCCCTAGTCTTATCTCTTTTACAGCAGAAATATCAAGCTTAGCCTTGTCAGGGTCTTTCTTGGAAGGTTCCCAGCGAAGAGCTTGCAAGTCAGTGTCTAGAGTAAAAAAACGATTATAAATGCGGGAATTTGGACGGACTTTTCTTCAGTTCACACCCAGCCTGCATAAAGCTGATACAGTCACTAGCACTGCTTATTTTCTTCTCGGATGGCATGCTGCTGAAGGACACAGTTTTCTTCCTTCCACATTTTTGGTTGGAAGGATCCTGTAAAATAATTTAAAAATAATTAAGTACATTTTCTTCGGCCCTTTGTCAAGTGTATATATAATATACAAAGCATAGCTACCTTATATTTGTTTGATCATCAAAACATAAAGCACTATCCCTTCCCATAATTCAATTCTCTACTCAGTTATAGAATATAACTACACAGTGTCTTGCTTGGCTGCAACAACATAGCTGTCACAATCATATTGGGAGGAGAGGATTTGTGGACAATCAAGGTAACTAGAGGAGTTGGGATTGGGGAGGGTTCACTGAGCAGTGAGAAGCTTCACAGTTATGGAATTAACCTGGAGGGTTGCTCTGGGGATGAAGGGAGTGGGGGGAGAGCCTAGAAGAGCCTGGGAGTGGAGCGGGGGGTTGACGTAGAAGGGAAAGCCTGGGCAGGTGGGAGATAGCCCTGCCCTCATTCTGACCCGCTTTCCATTCCCCTCCTTCAGTGTTGCCCCTCTCTCGCCATATCTGGTGTTTCCACGAAGCCCCAGCCGCTGGCGTCAAGGGAACACGGGAGACTCGCAGCGGTCACTGACAGGAAGTGCGTTTCCTACACCGCAGGCTGCAGAGAACAGCCTGGGAGCACGAGCTGAGCGCTCCCTGACGGCTCAGCGACCAGAAGGGAAAGAACAACAGGCCTCACGGGCAGAGGCCAGGGTAACATCTCATCACCCGAAGCCAGCCAGGCCGTTCAGGGGGCCGGGGAGACCTCTGGGCTGGCAATGCTGCGTTCTGTCCCGGCCCCCAGCATGGGCTCCCGCCGGCTCCTGTGCCCCGTCAGGCCCATCTCAGCTCCACCCTACGCACCAGGAGGGCGCCAGCCTTCCCTCCCGGCTCCATGCTGCCTGGTAATGGGAAGGAGGAGGAGAGATCAGCCAAGTGGGAGGCAGAGAAACTGCCTAATTACCTGCTCAGCAGGCACCACGGCAGCCCCAGTGGCCAGGAGGAGCAACTGCAGCCCCAAAACCTATTGCCGGCCCAAAGCCAAAGCCTCAGGAAAATTAGTACAAAAAATAAAACCTCCCTATAATCCTTGACGGTCACAAGGCCTGATTTTCAAATAAGGCCTCCATGTTTGTGTGTGCTGTTTTGTGCCCACAACTTGCCGGTAGAGAGCATGAATGAAACGCAGGCATAAAACTGTTGGTGCAATTCTTCAATGTTGCAAAACTATGCCTTCCAAAACAATGACCTAGTTTGAAAACCAGGCCCATATTTCTTGCACTGTAGATCTGACCAGAAAACCAAATACTCAGTAACATAGTATCTTAAGGATCCCACCATGGATCTAGATGACTTTACCTGTTAAATTAAATCCCAGCATATACTGCTCTGTAAGCAGTATAAGAACTAAGTATGAATGTTTGCATTCTTGGGCTAGCTATTTTGAGAAGGTAGGTCATTATTAACGTTTTCTGTTTTTGAAGTATTTCTCTGTGCTTTATTGTCCATCTTATATACAGAACTCTCCACATTAGCCCATTCAATAACATCTGAAGTGTTATCAAAGAAATACAACAACCGTATTCAAAGCCAACTGGCTCTATTGGGAACAATTACAAAACCTCTAAACTTTAGTATTAAAGGTCTTTAGCTAATCTGTCAAGGCAATGAATTAAAACTTTTAATGACAGGCAAAATTACTCTAGCCATTTATTGTAGCATTTAGTATGCTAATTAGGATTAAAATAGGGAGAAAGAAAGTCAATGAACCCAGCACATTAGTTCAGCACATTTTTACATTTTCACCAGCACATTTTTATGTTCCTGAGTCATCATACTGCAATTTAATATATTGCTGGTATGAAAATCTTTAAGCAACAGATGCTAATGAGTATAAACGAATGCAGCCAATTATACAGTAGTTTGTATAAGAGCCTTTACTTTCCCACTTTTAGATTTTTAAAGAAAAAGTTATTTAAATTTAAAACAACAACATGTTTGTGGTTTTTAGCAAAATCCATATGAAATTCCATATCTCGCTTTTAGCGGAACAGTGTAGATTCCAAAACCAGGAACCTGAACCTATTTCCAATGATTTCAATGGAAGCAGGAAAAACCTCATACAGTGTTGCCAACTTCTGCAGTTTTATGGTGAGTCTTGTGGTATTTGGTGTCTTTCACACAATGATATTAATAGGCAGCAGGCTTCAAACAAGCAAAAGGAAGTACTTCACACAACACAGTCGACCTGTGAAACTTGTTGTCAGGGGATGCTGTGAAGGTCAAAACTATAACTGGATTCAAAAAAGAATTAGATAAGTTCATGGAGGATAAGTCCATCACTGGTTATTTGCCAAGATGATCAGGGATGCAACTCCATGCTCTGGGTGTCCCTAAGCCTTTGACTGCCAGATGCTGGGACTGCACGACAGGAGATGGATCACTTGATGATTGCCCTGTTCTGTTTATTCCCTGCGAAGCATCTGGCATTGGCCACTGTTGGAAGACAGGATACGGGGTGAGATGCACCATTGGTCTGACCCAGTATGGCCGTTCTTACGTTATGTTCTTAAAGCCCCAGCGTCTGTAATCAAAACACTGCATGAGAATCTCAGCTTTCAATTAAAATAAAAGGTAAGTTTCTAGTCCTCATGGTTGTGGGGAAGTGGTTGAAAACATTAAACAAATGCACTATAAATAAAGGCCCAGAAACCAGAAGGCATATGAAAAGTACCCAATATGTGGTGGTGTTGTTTTTTAAATCTCATGATTTTTAAGCTAGTCTCATATTTTTGGTGGGGACACATGATTTTTGAATATTTGGGGGTTGGCAATACTGCTCACATTAATTTAGAAAAAATTCACATTTAAAGTCTTCTTAAATAAATATAGTAACTGAGACATTTTTGGAGTTTTAATCTACAGCAATCTACACAATGATGGAGGTACTGCTGGGCCAGATTCTCAGCTGGAGTAAATCTGTCCCAGTGACTTCAGTGGAGCTACACTGATTACACTAGCTAAAGATCTATCATTTTGTCTTTGCCAGAGAGGGCAGCAAGATTTGTTACAAAACATGCTCACCAATTGGCTTTTGTGGAAAACACACAAGTTGTTTATTTTTAATTGTGAAATGGCTGTAGTTTTTGATGGCAATGATACCTTGAATCAGGCTAATTTATTTTAGGTGACAAAAATAATGGGCCTTCCTGGGACCATTGAGTGCTGCCTTTAATGCTTGCTCTTAATCTTTAGGGTTTATTGCAAAGAGTTTTTAGTTGGTGTCATATAGGCAATTTAAAAATTGTAGAAAAATAGTGTTTCCTCTCCATGAATGACGTTTTCATATCTGTTTATCAAGTCAATCAATTCAAATCTAATCCTGGGGACTAATTATGTAAAATGACCAGGATTTGGATGTTATTGCAACTGATATTATTTTAATTGGCATTAATGACTAATCACTCTAATCTACAATACAATACATGGAGGAGAAAACTATGCAATTTGCAATTGTAAATTGATCCAAGAATGAGCTCATAACCACTCCAGGTGTTTCTTATTTGGTCACTATTGTATGATTTCTTTGTAATGCTTTTAAAATGAAGCCTGACAAATTTGTATATAATTTCAATTTAATAAGGCAGTTTTCATTTCAAAATGTAATCATCAAAAACATATTTATTCAAGTTTTGCAAACATTAAATGCTCAAAAAAGTGTGCCCTTAATCTTTTTTAAACTATAGCTTTATTAAATCTCAGGGAGAGGACATATTTTCTTCTAGAGGCACATGCTTACCTAACATTAAGAAAAGAATCTAATTTACATTCCTCAGTTAGTGGTGGAGTGGGTTCCACTAAGGACATTTCGGTGAACTATCTATTTTGTTGTTCCATAATTTGTTTATTTAAAATAAAAAGAGCAAGATTTACTAACAAAATCAGCCTGCTTCCATCTGTAAGTAAGCATCAAACAAAGATTCTCCTGATAATTAGATTTTATTTCACCCAGCTGAATAAAAGCTATTTAAACAAAATAAAAATCCCCAAAACAAACAAAATGTGTTTCTTCTCAGAGCAAGCGCAGACCCTGGCCTCTGCTCTTGCACCTTTACACTGCTCTAGTGGGGCAGCTAAAGATTCAATCAGTGGGGTGTAGCCAGCTCCAAGTCCCGCTACCTCTCAACCCTATGGGGATGATACAAGATGGAACAATTTGGAGAAGCCTCTGAACTGCTCTAAGTTATACGAGGGGTCAATTCAGTCCTGCCTGTCCCAGAGACTGGAGAAGAGCAAAGGAGGCTTGAAGCCAACTTTGTCTCCACTCAGGTCCAATGTTGAGTTTAGCTCAGGTAGACCCACGGCTCAGGGCCAATATAATTAATTACTTTCATACTTTATGTCCCTAATAAATTCAATTCCTATGTTTTATTCTTCTAACAAACAACATTAAACTACAAACACTTTTATGCTGCAATGTCTCTATTGGCTATAACTCCTGATCTATGTCACCTTTCACTCGGAACTAAATACAGGAATGATTATAGAAACCTAACAAGCTAAAAGTTGCTAAGAGCTTATGTGTATGAATAGCAAAACTGCGTTCTTGTGCTAAATGCCAAAGGTATTCATACTGCAGACTATCAGGAAACTCTCCATTGTATTCACCTACAGATCAGAACAAATCTTCTCTTTTATTAATCCAAAACACTCACTCAGTTCAAAAGCACAATGCGATGTTCTACTGAATCCTTGAGATTTAGAGTGTGTCTTTCTCAGAGACCTTAGATAAAGCAAAATAGAACTTCGCAGGTAGTAAACACAGTAGGACTTCTATTCATCCCTCACCTTTCCACTCTTTGCATGCCACCAAGGAGCATCTGTACCAGCTTCACATAAGCCAGTGTGGAGGGCTCCAATGGGAGCAGGTCAGGAGAGCTGCCACAGGATTTCCAGTGGCTCTAACACAACAGGCCAGTGACAGAGAGAGGCTACCAGCACTTTGAGTCCTGAGGGCTAGAAAAACAGCCAGGGAGGGGCAATGCTGTC